ACACCCCCAAAGATGGCAATAATCAAGATAGGGAGGGCGCTAAGAGACGTGCCAAGTAAGCCGCTAGATATGAGCAACAAACTCGTGTGAACCCGTTCTTCCTCCTCGCCGCTCCTCCCTCTCCCCACTCGCTCTCACCAGCCCAGCCATCTATGAAGCAGTTGGCCTACATACCCGTCAGACTGCCAGCCAACCAGCATATTGGAGTGGCTGGCTGGTCGCCACTGAATTGGACTCCTATTATGCGCAATCATAATGGACGGACAAGAGTAAAGGCAGAGTACAGACAGGCACTTGACGCGATTGTGATCAGAAGCTATCGCGGCACGGCGGCAGTGTTTTGTTTTGGTTTGATACCGGCGGTGAGCGACGATGAGCAACGTGCGACGACGCTGTCAGAACGCGGGAGTTCATTTTTGTTCACTCACATGCAATCAACACTTATATAACAGCATCCATTTTTGATACCATGTTTCCTCATCTCGGGGCCGATCCCAGCTGACTTTTGGTGCACGCCAGGGTACACCCTGGACCAGTACTGTAACAGTTTAGAATTTTTCATTGTAGTTAGGGTATTTTTTTCTGAAACATTTTTGTTTTTATTAGTTTTAGGATTAGTTTTAGATTTTTTTAAAAAATATATATGTTGATGTGGAGTGCAAGACAATTGCTCAAGGAGTGTTTGACTTTCTTTTTTAACACTGAAATAAATACATTTAAAATAAACCCCGACAGATCATGTCTGAAATTAATTGACAAAGATGAAAACGAAACACATTTTTTGCTGTCATACTTTGTAACAGCTAGTTTTATAAACGTAAAATGTAGGTTCAGTTGGTTATATATTTTTTTTCGCTTTGTTAATGAAAATGCTTTCTCAATTTTAGTTGTAGTACTTTTGTTAGTTTTCGATAATCTTACCCCAATCAAAAACCAAAATTATTCGGTGTTTTAAAATGTTTAAATTTTGGCCTGTCTCAATTTTTTTGCGGTTCTGTTTTCACCCAAAATTGGACGAGCGACACATTGATGTACCCTGAAGAGCTTGGTGCAGCGAGGACCAAAGGAAAAACTGCCAGTAGGCATTCCTGGAACAGATGGTCTCCGACCTTAGTCGCTCCAGGTCCGGCCTTTCCCAGACATTTTAAGCCAGGCACCTGCTTCACCGTCCCGACACGGACGGAAGACATATTGCAAAGAACATTTTAAACTAGACTTCCGCTTTAAATGGAATTGAACTTGGTGAAACGGTTTCAGGTGATGTTTGCGATCCCCCGGAATTCTCGTGGCCTCAGGCAATTGCTTGCGTTTGCCTAACGCCAAGTCAAGTCCGCCCGTGGCTCGGTGATTCGTTTACGAGCGAGCTGCAGGAAAACAAGAAAACTCGCCGATAACATGCCAGCTGTCGGAGGGAGAGAGGCTGTAGCAGGATACTGTAGGCCATACGAGGCCACAGCAGGCTGGGAAAGCTTGTTACTGCTTTGAGCTTCCACATGTAAATGCATCGCATTCCCCCCCCCCTCCCTTTTAAGAGCCCCCGTCTCCCACAATTCTCCCCGAGGAAAAAGAACTGCGTTTTAAAAGAAGCGCAAACAGCTGCCAACTCATTTGCCGCTGTGTTCTCTCGTTTTCTTTTTCCTTTTCTGAAGGAGAACCCAGACGCGCTTCATGCGGAATGAGGGCTGACATGCCTTCATATGGAGATTGACGAACGCAAAAGACGTCATTTCATGTTTTACCACCGTTTACAGCCACAGGTACACGCGTAGTTGATGGTGCATGGAATACGTATAGTTTATGTGAAGTAGGCCCCGATTAAATCAGTCAAAATTAGCTCTTAAAATCAGCCCAAATAGTTCCAGCGGATAGTGTCAACATGTATTTCATATTTAATCCAGAGCTGTGATTCAGCTGCAAAATTCATGTTCGCACACACACCGGTCTCACGATGCATTGTGTCATTTTGTGTCTTGAGTCTGTTCCTGTTCCCGCACTGTTGTATCTCAAGGCACCAATGTGAACCTAAACCTTGGAAGAACAATCCTGGAACTTTTCGAACATGCCTTACACGGTAAACTCACACAATTAAAGGAAGATAGGCAAGGGTTCGCCGTACCCGTTAAAAAAAAAAAAAAAAAGCACAGACTACAAAAGAGTTTTTTTGAGGGGGAATCTGTTTAATTCCTTGTCATCGCCATCAGACAGAAAAGTAGATTTAATGCGTAACGCCGCATGTTTCCCCATGTACCACATCTGCTTTGAAATGTTTTTGTATGCAGATTTTTTGCGTGTATTGGTGAGCTTTATCGACACAGGTGGGTGTTGTTCTCTTTTAAATCGAGTCTGGCTAGCATTTCCCCCAGTGTGCCGGTGTTTATGTTCAATTGGAAGCAAATGACTGAAAGCGTTCTGGCTCCGTACGCGAAGGCTTTCGCTGCTCTTGGCAAAAATCTGCCCGCTTCCATATTAGCTTCTGCTAAAGCTGGCAGAGACGACGAGAAAACGGCAATGAATAAGATCCCCCTCCCGGGCATCAATCCCAAACAACTATGCCATATGATAATGACCTGCCATAAAACATGACTAGACGTCTTTCCCAAACAGCCCCCTGGCAACCTCGTATGACACAAAATGTTCGAACATAGACGGGGTTAAGTTACACCACCACCGAGTGTCCCATTTTGGAACGCCGGGGTGCCAGATGCCAACATGTTCCCCTTCCCAGCATCTCATCAGAGGAAACCCAGGGAGTATGTCCCTTTAATTAGGCCGCCCGTGAAAATAATGGTGCATTAATGACATTTCTAGGGGGGCCAATGAGCTGGAACAACAGAGGAAAGACTAAATCACAAATCAATTCCAACAAATGTAATTAAGGTTTAATTAGCCCCAAGGGTGCCCGCGGAAAGCCGCGAAGGGGGCACGACGTGGAGGAAGAGCGAGAGGGGAAGTGAAAGAGAAATTTCGGGAAAGGGAAAGAAAGCAGCATCCGTGTGGGTCATGAATTGCTTCTATTCTATTCCAGCAGTGTGGCGCTGGAGCAATAAAACAATATTGACCGGACAATGGTTTAAATCATAGCTTCCGTATGCTAAATGTGTGGCTCTTGGCACGTGCCTGCTAGGCAGTTACCGACGGAGGGAGGCCTGATTTAAAAGCGCTGCGTCGGGACGTGCTAATTCTCTATAAAAACAGCAGCATGTACGGTTAGAGCTCAGCAACATTGTGGTGTTTTTTAAAAAAAAAAAAAGGAAAGGAAGGAGGCCGAGGGAATGAAACAACAGGAGGGAAAAAAAAAAAAAAGAAATGCAAAAACCACAGGAAAGTTTGGAGAGGACTTGGCCCGGCTTGCTGGATGCCAGATCACACGAACGCAGACTCCCACGCTAATAAACGAGCTTCATAAACAGCAATTAAAACCCTGGGCACTAATTTAGTGGAAATGGAAGCCTGTAAAAAAAAAATAATAATAAAATATGTGAGGGAAAGGAGCGGAAGACTGAAAAAAAAAAGGAATTTCTTTGATGCGTTTTTAGTTGTCATTTTTTTGGGACAAATTGTAAAATAGGAGGCTATTTACACAAAGTTGGACCAACTATACATTTTTTTTTAAATTCTATGAATAATTTAAATGGAAAAATATGTGACCTCATCTTATGAATCATATAACCCATCTGTCCAGATGAAAAAAAAAATAAAAAATCAACTGCGGCCCTTGAGTTGGGCCACCCCTGCCTGCAAAACATTCCCTAGCTTGTTCCGCACACACTCTCGCCAAATCGACCACAGAAGTGCATACACGAATTCGTACAAATGAACATACTCTCAATTCGCATATCACTGCCCTATTAAACAAAAAAAAAATGGAATCAAACATTCTGAAGCGGTCCCACAACGCAGCTTTCACACAACACGTGCGTTCGCTTCGTCCGACGCTGGGTGGGGTCTGTCGGTTATATATCCAAGTCGGAAGACAACCGAATGAGGTGCCGGCGCTCGGATCAAGCAGACCAAACACACGCTCGTACACCTACGCACGCATCCTGCCCCCCCCCCCCCCCCGCCCACTCTGACAGCACTGTAAACCGTGAAGTGACACGGTTGATATGCTCATCGGGTGCCTGTGAAATAATTGGGGACGAGTATTTGTGTCATGCGATGCTTTCCGACTGCTAAAATATCAGCGCTCTGGAAAAAGTGTGGATATTTTCCATGTAAGAATTCCTCGTAAACGAGCAACTATTCCTTCACACAGGATGGGTGGTTTCAACAGCTCTTCCTGGTCTCGGTTTTTGCCAAGTATCGCCTGACGTTGGGCTGGCTCGTCTTCCCCCCCTTAAAAACCGAACTTTATTCTAAGCTCTATTTCTTCATGCTACTTGCACGCGGAAGTTACTCAAATGTCAACTGTAAAATTGCAAATAGCTCTGTAAAGTCAATAGAAAAGATCAAGTAACACAACCTGATTTTTTTTTTTTCCTCTCCGTGGAATCTGAGCTGGACTGACTCACTTTAATAGCAGTCCGACGTGATGTCCCGAGTCACCTCTCTGCTACAGGTTGTTTAATTGCTTATCGATTCTCGTGTCCTGTTGGGGCAAGTAATTGAGCGGGCCGATGAAAAGCGCTGATCATAACACGCCTGACACTGGCTTTTAAAGTCAAAGGCAAACGGAAACAACTTGAAAACGAAATCACCATGTAAAAGGATTTTGCAAAATGCTTTTTAATTAAATTTTCACTTCAAAATCGCCGTGTGAGGCATCTTCTATTCGGGGCCATGTGCTCTATATTTTTGGTGTTTCCCTTTTAAATCACTTATAGACCAGCTGTATACCTGCCTTGCACTTAATTGTAACTTAACCAAATAAAATCATACAGTACGTTCCATCGATGCCCTGAGATGGGGAATTGCACCTTTCATTAGAACTTCATTGACATTCTGATGAGTGATTTGTGTAGCTGATAGCACTGCGACTATATGGCTCATTGCACCCCCCCCGGAAAAGGAAGCGATAGTTCGATACGAGTATGAGTCAGCATCAGATTATCGTAATAGGTAGCTTCCTGGGCAACCGATAAAGAAACACTATCAAACAGAGACTGACCCATTTGAAAATATGCCAAGTGCGGTACAACCTGAGGCGTCTTTGTCGACTGCGGGAGGAAGCGGCGACAACGCGCCGGAATCGTCACGTCGACCACGGGGCGAGAAACGGAGGAGGCGGCCATGACCGTGCATCTGGACTTGACCAGATGCGTTCGGAGCTCAGTGACAGGCACAGAGATTAAGGTCACACTGTCTCACTTGGACGGGCGCCAGGCGCCACATGATGCTAATGGGGCGGCAGAGGCAAGGCGTAGGTAGGCTGGCAGATGTCCACGCGAGGCTCCGCGTCCCCTCCGCGAGCCAGTTCTTCTCAAGCCAAACAGATGGATAATGATATACAGAGCATCAGCCAGAGCTTTGAAAAAGTCCGAAAATATTCCAACCGGCCTTCCTTTATTATTGCGGACTCACTGCATCACTTTTTGTTTCCTCGCTCAGCTGCAAAAACACGAGCGTGTGGACAAAAAGAGGAAACTGAGAAGGGAAGTCAATTTGACACAGGACACGACAACAATCAAATACAAGAGAAACAATATAAATAGTAAACCACGTGTCGAAATGGGCATTCTAACAACGAAATTGCCAAATATTCAGCATCTCACTTTTCCTCATGACAAAATTAAAACAAATCTGGTATTTCCACATGTTCTCTTTTCACATTTCTTGACCGATTTAAACCATTCCAAGTTCGCGTCTAACATCGTACATTTCAACCATTCAAGTACAACTTCTGCACAAATTGTGTTCTCTAATTGCAGACGATGCGGTCACATTTTACCCATGTACTTATGCCCGTCTGGCGCCTTTGGGGGAGATGAATGTTGAACTGTTTGGATATATTCCAAGAGACAAGAGTGTCCAGTACTTGCTGTGGTGCGATGCCTTAACTCACTTACGCTTCAGTGTTCATAAGATCAGACGTCAACAACACACGAGGCTGCTAAGGACAGCGAAAAGCGGCCGGTGGGCAGTACTGAACCGACTGCGCTTTGGAGTAAGCAGGCTCATGGGAATCGCTGGAAACAGGAACATGAGTCCACATTTCTAGACAGTGACTGTCCTAGTTTTGGGGGATCGAGTCTATCCTGCTCTTTCTCTCTTTCTTTCCGATTTGTTGCTCTTCGTCCAATGTCATCGCGACGCAGCCAAATAAATCACGCAAAGTTAACATCATGTGGGCTATCAAAGTTCACTTATCGAGCAGGACTATTCAAGGGGTAGGACGGGGGCTGGATGAACTCGCTGCAACTCACGGCATCCAAGTTCTGAAATTGTTGTACCTTCCCTTTCTCTGTCTTTCTCTGTCTGCTTCTCACTTCCTGTCTTGTCCCCAAGTTTTTAGGCCACCAGAGTGGAAAGCTGGTCTGTCACATGAGATTATCGCAGGTGTCAAAGGACCAAGGGGAGCGCACAAAGGAGTATTACGGTTGACACGGTAAAAAGGAAAAAAAAAAAACGGAATTTACAAGGACCTCGGCAAAAATCTTCCAGTAGTTGTGAAACTCCTCTTTGATTGTGTTTGCATGACTATATTATGCTGCTCTCTTGTGGCCAAGTTGGCCGCAATGTATCAATCGTGATGCACAAACTGGGTCATTCTTGACATTCTATTTACGTATTTTATTGCTGTGTTTTTATAAAGTACAACAATGTAGAGTGTTTGTTTCCGGTTGGGTTTTTGGGGGAGGCTGGAGCATATTCCATTTATAGAAGAACTAATATATTTTTTAAAAGGGGCTAGTCATAATGGTACATTTTTTTAACTGCAGCTCTCATACTCATGTATGAGACCCCACGCCCCCACTAAAAAAAAATGAAAAGAAAGAAAAATCCAACCAAACCTGCCCAGGCGGCATTAGCGTGCTATGTCTTTTCTGTCAGTCTTTCCCTCCTTTTTAAGGATGTGAGAAAAAAACAGCCAGAAGAGAGGGTTTAGAAATCGAAGCGTGGAAGGCGCCAGGAGAGTTTTTGGAGACAGCTCGGGCAAAAAGAAACATTCACCCTAAAAACTCAGCAGAGGTTACACAAGGACTCGAATATTGAAAGCATGTTCTAGTTTGTAGAAAATAAAGAACGGGGAAGGTGAAGAGAGGACAACAGGTTTGTTCATTTGTTAATCCCCTAAAGCTCTCGCTAACTCTGATCTGTTCATCCTGCTCTCTCGCTCAGAACGCCTAAACCTCCCCCAACTTTGGTACGATAAGATTTCCCTGGAGATGCTGCGACTCCACCCCTGATTTCTCTCCATTTCCCTCATTTTGGGATTCGGCGGAGGTGGGGGGGCCTTGTAGTGCTCATCTCTGTCATTGAGCTGCTTCATTCGTGGCCTATCCTATCGCTGTGCAGCAGTGATGCGTGAAGCACGCTACGGGCCAAACGGGGGCCTCTTAAGAATTCAAGGTCACCGCCTGACAATTGTGCGCTGCAGCGTATGCGATGTTTCACAAGGCATGCCGTGTTTTGCAATCTTTGACGCACTTCCCTACCAAGCCGGTGTGTGTGTGTGTGTGTGTGTGTGTGTGTGTGTGTGTGTGTGTGTGTGCGTGCGTATACACATTGGAAAACAGCAGGCTTTTGTGTTGTCAAAGTTTTTCGACGATTTAAGAGCACTAATATCAAACTGAACAACAGAAAAAAAGATGAATGATGAGCAGATAAATAGCGTAGCTCGCAACAGAGCCTCGTTATAGAAAGTTGACACACCCAAATGATAAATGGATAGATAGGATTAAATATAAAGCCCTGTTAGCTACATGCTCCAGTTAGCAACATGCCTAGTTAGCTACATAGCCTAGTTAGCCACCTAGCCCAGTTAGTTATACAGCCTTTTTAGCTGCAGTTCGATGCTAACGTTAACTTTGTCACAATTCATTTAAAATAAGTTCTTACGCGATCGTGATATTATCTAAAACTCCCTTATTTTGACACCTATTGGCATTTGACATTGACGTACGATCTGCGGCAGTCAGCCAAGCTAACATCGATCAGCGCTGGCTGTCCACAGCGCACCAGCCAATCAATCATGTCTATCGATCGAGCCCCTGTTGGAGGAAAATGTGTAGATAGTGCCGAATGGCCACTGTCGTCTAGTATAAACAGGATATGATTTGAGTGTCAGCTTTGAAATGACGGGAAAATTAGTTGCCGATTTGTCCCAAATACGATTATATTGTGGTCACAATTTAGGATGCAAATCCTAATTTTTGGCCATGAAATAGGCATATTGGGGGCTCTGTATATTTGCAAGATTGAAGTGAAGGGGTTAAAAAAAAAATTGTGCTTGTCATTCAACAAAATCGAGGCAAGGAGGATTTCAAGCGCACATGAACAGAGCAAGGCCAGACCCAAGGTCTCTATACATGTACTGCATGATGTATGCAGGTTATTATCCGGGACAAGGACACTCTGTTTCACCATCAACACAAATTTTATATGACCTACAAGCAAGGCCCTCTGCAGCGAGAAGAACAGAAATTAGTCAACTTCCCATTAAATATGAGCACATCGTTTATCTTCACACACAAAGTACACATCCAATATCAACACAAAAAAGAAGACGCCTGGATTGCTCTTCACCAATCCAAATCACATCTTAGTGCTGCTTCTCTTAGATTCGAGGATAACGCGTGCTCGGTTTTGCAAAGTGATGAATGATAAATACAATTTCACTGGAACAGCAATGGGGAAAAAAGACTGCGATTTGGCTCGAGACTGTAAATTGCAATTCTCTTGCCTCACGCCCCAAAACAAATTAGAGCCAATACTTCTCTTGGCGCCTCCAGAGTGCGTAATGAGAGACATAGAGTGGGAGAAAAGAAAGAAAGACGAGCAAGAAAACACAAATGATGGCTCGCTAGTGGGGTGAAGCACACTGCGGCTCATCTTATGTATCTGGGGGAGGAGAAGAAAACGGTAATCAAGCATGGATCCTTATAACATTGCAGGAGGTAAAATTAGAAGACCTTCCTCTTCTTGAAAAGGAGAAAAGCCCATCTTTTCGAGGTCGGGAACAATCCTGCGTTCTTTCTGTGAATTGCGAGACAAGGCACTTTAGCGTGACCCCAATACACATAAGTGCAGGCATCCTCACACATATGTTCCAGCACATAGGTGTACACACACACAAAAAAGCAGATTATACATGAAAGGGTGTGGGCTGTGAGAGTATGTGTCTTTTTATCAGGTGAGGGGCGAAGCAAGGAGGGGGCGGTGTAAGATTTATCTGCTGCTGTCGAAAAACTTTGACCCCAAAGTTGTAAATCTGTCAAAGGAGTCTAGCCAGCTCAACAGGAAACACGGAGAGGAAAGGAGGCGGGGGGTAGGAAGGTGGTAGTAGAGGAGGGTGGGGGCACTGGGGGGCAAAAGGCACACCCACGGGCTCAAGCATTTCAAAAGGGCCACCCTTTCAGCGCTGGGGAACGTGAAGTGTCCCTCTCGCCATGTTTACAATCCTGAAAGTGATCCCACACAGCTGGCAAAAACCACCCCGTTGCCCCCAGGCATCCCCAACCCCACCATCAAATTCAGCGCGCATCAGTTTCCATTGACAAATGTGGCCGTGGGTACGGTACAATGTAGTACAGTACGGTATTGAGTTTGCTATTCACAAATTCACCCGCGATTTTTAGAGTCAAATATATCTGAGTGGCGGTTTCTGACATGCGCAACGTGTGCGCCTGCGCAGGGGTGGCATTGCTGTGTGTTTTTCCCTCGGGTTGCAACAGGTCCACAAATGTCATTCATTTGTACTTTGTCCACCCTTTCTTTGACATTGAAGGCCCTATTTTAGCAGCCAGCGCACAGGCGCTCAGCGTAAAAACTGGCGCATCTTCATTTTTGTGCTGGGGGCAAGTCTAGTTTACTGCGTTTAGGAATTTGGTGGACCGCAGGCGTTTTCTTTTACACGCCCGACTATTTGATGACTGAAATCAGACTCGATTTTAGACCAGGGGAAACCAGGTCTAAGTTGTGGTGCAGGTGGCGTCACGCAATTTTGATAAATTTGATCGAGGCAATGGCAGACAGATTCTGCCCTGCGCTGATACAGAATGTGTAGTGGGCGTCATCGTATTTTGAACGCATCATTAATATCATCATCTTTATTATATTTATGTTTTTTAAAAACCTGGGCCAGCTATGCGGAGGGGTGTCAATACTCCAGACAAGTTGATAAATCTTCCTGTCTCCACTGCAAAATCTGCACCCTCTTGCTGATTCTTTCTGAAGAGGTATTAAACCATTTGCAAGGGCAGGGATGTACCGGGCCCCAAAATTCGTCGGTTCAAGGAACAAGAGAATTGAAACAATCATTCATTAAGTGTCGCTCGCCAACGGTCAAACTATCGGTTGTTAGCAAACTACAGTTGCTTGTTTACTTTGAACCTCAGCTTGTCTAGGGGAATACAATGAATGGAAACATGGAAAGGAAACACCCCATTCGTCCTTCCCATCCCACTGTGGAAAGCCAAACGGACAGTTCCAAACAATTGCGTCGAGAGATCATTTTACTTGGGAGGAATGGTGGCTCTTCTAAGTGCATGGGTGGCGTGTTATGACAAGCTGACGGGACCCGGCATCTTTCTGTGCCAGCTGTGCAGGCCAACGTTACACATTGGCGAGGGGGAATAACAACATTTATTAGTGTGTCCTGGGAAACCTCGGCACCATGGCAAAGAGTGGCATGCGGCCACAGTCTGCCCTGAGAACAGCACAGTCAACCATCTGGCCGCAAGCTCGCTGTTACAATAGTGAGCCTGTGGGCCGGAGAAGAAGATGGAGGAGGAGGAGGAGGAGGAGGAGAGGCGATACGGCGAACCATCACATAGTCGCAGTTTGGCGGCCGTGAAGTCAACCATTTGCAGATTTCGTTGAAAAACCTTGTGAACTCAAAGCTGTTTTGGAGCACAAATCAAGAACACTATTGTTTAGGGTGGCATCTTGGTACTGGTTCTGAAGTGGACATCAATAACTTGTAGATTTTGTTCTAGACCCGCCCACGATAGGTGGAAATCTGTGACATCGGAAGATGATATAACTGTAATGTTATTGCCTATAAATGTCATAAGATGCCGACGCCGCACAACTCATTTCGACAGTTCCATGGTGATGTTATTATTGTTTTGGCCATAGCACAATAACACAACATCTGGTTGACATTTTCAGCATATAACGGCGGCTATATTTCGAACATGAAGAATACAAATCTGTGAATAGGCAAATTTTCAAATTCCAAACCACGACTATTCGGGTGTTCACTGTACCCGTGCCCCGTTTAAATGTTCCGAATCATCCATTTACTGTCTATAGTGCATGCGGTGAGATCATCCGAGAGCAATTGTTCAACATTAACAGCCCAGACATTCAC